GGGAGAACAGAGTGGGCTACCAGGGCCCCGCTCGCTAGAGCAGCGATGCAACACGCCTGCTCCCAGGACCGGCCTACGGCATCACCTGGGAGCTTGCCAGAAATGCAGGTTCCCAGGCCCCGCCCCAGACCTCCTGAGCCAGAATGTCCAGGGGCGGGCCGGGAATCTGGGTTGCAGTAACCCCCCAGGCGATGCTGTGCATGCTTATGTTTGGAAAGCACGGGCCGTTCCAGAGGGCAAGAGGTGCTTCTTTCTGCATGTAACAACTATATGTTTTTCAGAATGTGAGTCAGGCCGCATCATTAAAACCCCCGATGGCGCCTCATTACATTTGGAATGGCATCCTGACTGCCCACCGTGGCCTTCCATGCCCATCCGACCTGGCACCTGCCTACTTCCCTGACGCCCTCATCTGCCTCCGCCCCTCACTCTCTCTCCCGTGCCCCACGCACACTGGTCCTGCTGCTTCTGGCTTGAACGCGCCAAGCTCATTTTGACCCCACGGGTTGTTCCCTCTTCTCAGAAAGCTTTCCCTCAGACTTTCAGAAAGCAGGATCCATCTCATTATTTGCTGTAACAAAATACCATAAACTGGCGGCTTATAAACAACAGAAATGTACTTCTCACAGTTCTGCAGGCTGAAAAGTCCACGGTCAGGGTGCCGGCGGATTCGGTGTCTGGGGAGGGCTGGCTTCCTGGCCCATAGATGACGCCCTGTTACTGTGTCCACACGTGGTAGAAGGAGCTAGCTGACTAAGGGCGCTAATCTCATTCACGAAGGCTCCTCCCTCATGCCCTAATCACCACCCATTATCATCGCCTTGGGGGTTAGGATCTCAACGTCGGAATTTGGGGGTGACACAAACATTCAGACCATGCACCAGGTCTCAAAGTCCACTTCTTCTGAAGGGCCCGCCCTGGCCAGCCCTCACTGGTACTCTGTGTCCCTGGTCTGCTGCCTCCCAGCCCTTCCTTCCATCTGAATTGATCTAAGTTCGATTTGTTGGTATCTTCTCCCCCCGCTAGGATCCAAGCCCCAGCAGCGCAGGACCCTTGCCCATCTAGCATCCCTGGCGCCTTGGAAGCCCTCAGTAAATATTCGTTGGATGAATGCGTGTTTGAAAGGCAGAAATAGAACCTAAGGAGGAAATTACAGCTATCATACACCGAGTACCTGCCGTTTATCTAGCTTTGTGCCAGACACTTTATGTAATTATCTCATTTAATACTCAAATCCAGTTGGATATCGTATCAGTTATCTCTTGCTGCCTCACAAGCTACCCTGCGTCCTGGCAGCTGAGAACAACCACCGCAAATGAGCTCACGATTCTGCAGGTTGGCAGTTTGGGCTGGGCTCGGCTGGGCTCATTTGTGGGCCTGCCGCCAGCCAGGTGGCTGTTCTGGGGTTGTGTGGCCGTCAGCGGGGACGATGGGGATACCTGGGCCGTGTAGTTCATTATGTAGCAAGGTGGCTTAGGCTTGTGCGCATGGTGGTGATCCAAGGTTCCAAGAGCAGCAAGGGGCAAGCCCCACACACACAAGCCCTTTTAACACCTGCAAGTGTCATGTTTGCTGATGTCAATGAACAAAAAAGCAAGTCAATGTAGCCAGCCCAGATCAGCATGGAAGGTATTACCAGAGGGTATGGAGAGAGGATGAGGGCTGGTTTAGAGCTATTTTGTAGTCCACCAAAGAGATATTATCCCCAGTGTACTTATGTGGAAATCAGAGCTCAAGGAACTGTCCTCACCTGCGCAGGTATACTGACACAGCTCACAGGTCAAATCCAGGTCTGTCTGACCCCAAAACCCATAGGTGTAAGCCACGATAATATACTTCACAGCAGTGCACCTTGTAGGGTGAGAGTTCCCCTTCCAGCAGAGGCTGGGTGGCCCCGCTGCCTGGCTGCTTAGGCCCACGGACACCCTCGCATTCCTTCCAACCCTGGTCTTGTAGGTTTCTGCCTTGACCATCTCCCTGCCTGCTCCTTTATAACTACAGAGACTGCGGCGCAAGGCTTCCTGTCTAAATGGGACTGCCTAGAGTAACACCTGCCTATTTCTGGACCTGCCGGACATCTCTCTGGCCATTCCTGAGTCTTTGCTCACCCCTCCCCAACATGAAGCGACGGTGGGCTCTATGCAGAAGTGAAAACAAGCTTGGGACAGGTCGTCACGACTTCTGGGTTCTAATGTCAGTTCTTCCAATGACTCATCCCGGGCCCTTGAGCAAGGCACACCCCTTCTGTGAAGCTCAGCTCTTTCATAGTAAAAATGATGGAATCAATTAGCCAGAAGTGGTGGTGCACACCTGTATTCCCAGCTGCTCGGGAGGCTGAGGCAGGAGGATCGCTTGAGCCCAGCTGTTTAAGGCTGCAGTGAGCTATGATCGCTGCACTCCAGCCTGGGTGACAGAATACGACCCTGTCTCTAGAAAAATCATTTAAAAAAAAAAAAATGACATCATCAGACTAAAAAAAATCTCTAAGAATCTTCCCAAACTAATGATTCTGTGGTTTTAGAATTAGTCTTCACTTCTTGAAACATTCTCCATCAGCCCAGTGCTTGCCATCCCAGGATTCCATCTTCCACCTAAGAAACCAAAGAAAGACTGACGCAGAGCTTTGCACCAGGAGCTGCATAGGGACAGCCCTTAGGGAGCAGGTGTGGGAGGAGCCATGACCAGGGTCAAGGGTCAAGAGGACGTCAGGAGGGGAAGGAGCAGGGAAACATTGACACCCAGGCAGGAGCACTCCCTTATTCCAGGAACCTGCAGTGAGGGGACATCTGGGGACATTGTCCTCAACCTAACACTAATCCATGTTGAATGATGCTCTGGATCCCAGGCATTGGGGTCAGGCAGACCTGGGTGAGAATCTACTTGCTCCACTTTGTAGCTGCGTGACTTGAAAGAGGTCGCTGTACCTCCTTGAGCTTCCTTGTGTATAAAATGATGAGCAGCTCAATTTCATACAGTTACTATGAATATTAAATGCGTGGCTGGCACATTGCAAGCAGCAGGTAAAGGCATAGAGATTTATTATACTGTTGTCACATTTTTTATATTATTGTCATTATTTTAAACCTCAGTTTGGCACTGTTGTTCAGTTCCTGGCAGAACAGTTGGTTCTAAGGGAGAAAAGATCGGAGAGACTGGGCCGGTGGTGTGGACACAGTGGTGGGTTTGGGACATCATTAGTTCTCGATCACTCACGCAGTTTCCACGGAACAATATCTGGTAGCATTTCCCATAAAGCTGATTTTTCACATCAACAGCACCCTTCCTCTGAGAACCTTAAGTGTGTCTTGTCTCTGTTCTCACTCTGAACTCTTAGCAGAGCCTAGGGCTGCACCAGGCCGGGTTGATCACTGCTGGGAAAACTCAGACACAGAGTCCAAAACTAAGTCCACGGGGGGCTCCCGAGAAGTGATCCTCTCTTGGCGCCCAGACATACCTCTTACCTCCCACCTCCTCCAGCAGCTCTCATACCTACACCCTAGAAATTATTCTTGCCCTTTATTCTCCAGTTCCCAAAGGGTTTGTGCAGGTGGCTCTCTCTTAAAGTGCACATTCCCCCCATTTTGCAGAAGATGCAACTGAGGTGCAAGGGGGTACGATTCCAAATCCGAGAACCTCAGAGCCCGGGAGAGAGCAGGGCACCCTACAGCAGAGGCTGAATGCGACATTCCGTGAGATTAGGCATCATGGAGAAGGTGGCACCTCTTTAAAAAATGGCTCTGATCAATTTGGTTAGCAAGCATGATTACCATGAGAAACAGAGGGCACTTTGCCCTGGTGAATATCTTCATCCTCCGTGTTGAAAGAGGAAGCACAGCCGGGCAGTACCAATTCACAGCGTCACTGAGAGGAAACTGGAAGTCATCGAGAAAGCCATCGAAATGAGACAGGTGTGCCCATTTTCTTTCGTTTAGAATCATGGAAATGCATTGAATTGATTTCCTGGTAATTGTCCAAATAAAGTGGGCATTCTGACCCGGAGACCGCTGACTATGCACCTCTTGCTGGGTACAGAGGAAAATTGAAATAGGCTTTTGCTGTTTCTTAGCCATAGATTTTATGTACCAGGCACTTCGAATGCCTTTGAAGAAAATATCTTTATAGATTTCTCTTCAAACATTTTTGCAGAACTCTCTCTGCTGGAAACCTCTTTTTGTTTTTTTGCTGGGCTCTGTTCTCACGCCTCTCCCTGGCTCAGCATCTCTAAGGCGGCCATGTGAGGTTGGCGGGGGCCCTGGAGCAGCGAGGGCTGGGAAAAGTGAAGACAGCGTCACCCCAGGTACACGTATGTTCTCCACATTCTCATGTTTTTGCATTCCCTTTCAAAGCACCCAGTGTTGCCTTTTCTCACCAACTCCAAGACCTGACAAGGTACCTGGTCTCTAAGTCCAAGAATGCAAGCTGACCACACATCTGACGCCCCCCCCGCCTTCCTGCCTTAGGAGAACAGGGAGAAAGACAGTGCTCAGGGTTGTTGGGAGAATTCTGGAAAGCACTTGGCACATAGTAAAGGCATCCGTAACTGCAGTTGTCGTGACTCGTGTTTTTTCTGCTTGTTTTAAAGCTCCTTGTAACTCAGTGATCCAGGTTGTCTAAGACCTCTGTGGTTTGTCACTGCCTTGGGAGATCAGTAGAGCTGTTTTACACCTTTGCCAAGAGAGCAGAATTATAGGAGCTTGGGCTGGAAGGGGGATCTCTAGATCACTTGATATAATCACCCCCTCCACCCCACTGCCTGCCTTGAAACGGAAGTCTGAGGCTTATGGGGGATGTGACTTGATATCACATAGTTCATTTGGAAGGAGTGAAAGACTAGAACCTGCAAGGTAAGTGTTTCTATGCCTGTTTTATTGGTGCAAGAACAGAGTCCTGTTTAAAGCAGGGCTTTGGATTTGCAGCCGGTTGACTCACTGTTGATAGAGGCCCCATGGGTGAGGCGTGGACGGCCAGGTGCCCAGGCTCACCCTCCCCATCTCTTGCAGGCTCCAGATGCTGGAGGCCATCTGCAAGCACTGGGAGGGGCCCATCAGCCTGGCCCTCTACCTGTCGGACGCGGAGGCCCAGCAGTTCCTCCGCTACGCACAGGGCTCCGAGGTGCTCATGAGCCGCCACAACGTGGGCTACCACATCGTGTACAAGGAGGGCCAGTTCTACCCCGTGAACCTGCTGCGCAACGTGGCCATGAAGCACATCAGCACTCCCTACATGTTCCTGTCCGACATCGACTTCCTGCCCATGTACGGGCTCTATGAGTACCTCAGGTAAGGACCCGCGCACGGGGCCATGGTCTGGCCCAACACTTGGCCTTTCTAGATGGCAGAGAAGACCCAGAGAGGGGAAGGGGCCTGCCCCCGTCCACCCAGCGACAGAGCCGGAACCCAAGTTTGCATCATGAAATGGTGGTGGTGGAGACTGGTCCAGGGAATAGCTTTTTTTTGTCTCCCAGTCTAATGTTCTTTCTGTAGCATCAGTGAGAATAGACTGTCCCTCTTCTCATTTTTGATCAACCTTCAGCTAACCATTCTAGAAAGATCGCTGCCTATTCCTCAAAACAAATCTAAGTGATGATGACACCTGACACTTACCCAAGTGCTGACAGCAGGCCAGGCAGTGGGCAACTGCAGGAATGAGACCCAAGGATGCACACCTACTAAGGCAGAGGCTGGTCACACGCAGCCAGTCTCCCCCCAGAGCCACGGGCTTAATCACTGCCCCGGCCGCATGTGTGCATCTCCAGTGTCCCTTTGCAACTCTCCCCCACACGGAGGGGCAGGTGTCCAGTGGCTGGAGAACGCACTCGCCTGATAGCCTCCAGTGGCTGTGCGAAGAGTGTGTTTATTAAAGAATAATAAGCTGAACGGAAAGGGACTACAGAATTCCTAGAGCCCAGAGGTCCCATTATACACATGAGAAAACAAAGTCACAAGATGTGAACGGTCCAACGACATTTTTAAAAAAATCCTTTGTTTATTGTCATTGTCGGCGTGAATTATCTCTACTGCGGGCGTGCATGCCTGGATCCAGGCACCACGAGAGGTGTTTTGCACGTATTGTCCCAGTGGGTCTACACAGCAGGCCCAGGAGGCAGCTGTGGCTGTCCTCACTCTACAGCCAGGAAGAGCGAGGCTCAGAGACGCAAAATGACAGGCTCAAATCCAGAGAGCTCGCACCAGGGTGTGAACCAGTGTCCGTCAGACTCCAGGTCTGCAGCCCACCCTGCTCCACGCTTGTCTGGCTGCTCTGGGGTTTCCGAGTGTCCTTTCGTGTGCTCTTGCCCTCCCGTCCCCCGCCCCCATCTGCCTCCTTCTCTGTCCCTTGGTGTCTTTCTGTCTTACGGTGTATTTCTCTCTTCCCTCTCTCTCTTTCTTTTCAAAAGAGCTTCCAAAAAGCTTTAAACCTTTTGTAGTGACACCAAAGCATAGGAGTGGCATGAGCACCCTCCGTGCCCTGCTCTCTAGAGCCAGGGAAAGCAGCCCGACTTCTCCGCCCAGCTTCTGAGTTGATCCTTCCGGGGGCATCTTGGGTGTCGTAGCATCAATTCCTCTCCTACGGCAGGAGGGGCCCCTCCCGGTGTCTCCCCATTAAAAACAGTAGGGTGAGGGACCCCTAGGCAGTGTCAGCTTGAGTCATGGAGGCTGGGAGGTCCTGTGGCGACCAGCACTGTGTGAGCCCCAACTCCGGACCGCCAGGCTCTAGAGATGGGGCTCCACCTGCAGCTCCGGCTCCGGCTCCCACTGGGGGCCTGGAATCCCAGTCTGTGGAGTGATGGCGCCCCCCTGTGGCCACATGGGGCTTGCAGCCCCTGATTCCTGTAGATTCTGAAGCTTTGGCTTCCCATACAGGGGGATGACAGCCTCCCAAAGCGACAGACAGATGAGGGAGTGAGGGCCACCCTTGACCTGGAAAAGGGAGGCTTCAGGACCGGACCCCTGGCCATCCTCCACCCCCCTGGGGCTCTTCCTCAGAAGCACCTGCGGGGCCTTCACTCCACCCAGCTGAGAGTGAACTGGCCCCATCGTAGGAGTCTGGGGTCTCTACTCCCCCTGCCCAAGGACTGTTTTATTATTTGACTTCATGAGCGTCACGTTTTAAAAAACCATACACGTGAACAGACTTTTATGTTGTCGCCCAGTGTTTTATTGATCAAAGACATCACCCACTGCTAATCAAGACCTCCCTCAAAGCGAGGTACTGGCGTTGCCCATTACTTAACAGTTGCTCGATGCACGGTCACTGGGTTGTAGCTGGCGTTTGCCGCCTTGTCACAGGAAGGTGTGACAGGAGCTTCGAAATATTGTAAATAGCTTTTAAAACTTCATTACTTTCTTCACAGACCTTGCTTGGAAATGCTGAGTACAATTCAATAGGGAGACCACAGCGGGCACCTTTCTGCTCAGTTGTGGGATCGTTGCTCTGGGGTGAGGCAGGACTACAGTTGCTGGGTATACATATTTTTCAAGAGGAGCTGAGAATCTGGATTTGTAAATAAGATTTTTTTAAAAAAATGCCGGCAACTGATTCTCAAAAACTGTTCTGAATGCTGTTGAGCCGGACCAAACATACCTCCAGGTTGCTTTGCCCCCCCTCGTCCCCGCCCCACCCAGCAGGGTATAACCTGTGGCCTAGGTGATTCCTCCGCACTGGAATTCTGAGAACCAATAAGAAATGTGATTCTCTCAAAGCCCCAAGTAAGCATGCACCGTCCTTTTCATGTGAAGATAATCGTATTGACTGGCGCTTGGCTTACAGGAAATGTTCTCTCTGAGTGGGATGGATTTGTTTCTGATCCGGAAGGTATCGGGGATCGACCTCCTGAGCGGTGTCACCTTGCTGGTTAAAGATATAAGGCTAAGGGTGCTGTTTGCCACGGTAGCTGAGGACGCCACCAAGGCCAGCAGACCCTCCCAGAGAACGACTTCCTCAGCCCTGATCTCCAACAAAATGCTGTACCCAAGCCCTGCTGAGATGTTAATGTCAGATATGTTACAACAATGACAGTTCCAAGTTATTGAGCTCTTACCGCATGCCGGAGACCCTGCCCGCTGCTTTGTCCACACTGCCTCTGTTCTTCATGCTTCTGTATGAGGCAAGTGTTGTTACAAGTGACCAGACTGAGGCCCCAGAGAGGTTAAATATGAGTGTCAGGAGAGAAAGGTGTCCCTCCCTACACAAGAGCCTGCTCACTTTGTGGAAGGGGCCAGATCACTCTCAAACCCTAAGATACCAGAGCAGGACGACTGGCTGCTCTCTGATTGCACCCCCAAACCCTTATATCACCCTTTTTGGGGGTTCCACTTGGTTACCAAAAAAAGTTCAGCATTATACTCAGCTGAGCTGTTGCTTAGCAACCAGCTAATATTATAGCAACAACAAACAGATCAATTGGAAAATAATGGAATTGGTTGTATGCATGGGCATAGCGGCAGAGATTCACTAAAATCTCTTTCCCACCCCTTCACCTATTTCTTCTAAAGAAGGAGCTTGTAGATGTTCAGCTTTCACTCTTGATTTCAGAAATGTCAAGTGAAAGTCAGCGGGGCATGGCAGAAGTCGTCCAGGGCTGCCTCTGAATCCAGGTCCTGCAGCAATTATCAAGGATGTGACTTGGGGCTGCAGACATGGTCTCCCCAATCCTCCATTTCCTCAATTAGTAAAGGGGCTAGTAGTAGCCTCTTGCGGTGGTAAGATAGGTGCGGAACAGGAGTTACTGTGCTGCCGTTGGCCTGTTCACAGCACCAGCATTGGACTTCCGTGCCAGGCCACAACCCCACTCAAACCCTGCCGTTGCAAACTGCCTCCCACCCTATATATAGCCTGGGGAACTTCATGTGACCACCTCAATTGTTTCTCTTACTGAAAATGAGAAACTATATATTCACATTCATTCATTTTTTTAAAAAAAATTTAGTGAGCATCTTCTATGTGCCAGTATGTGTGCTGCATTATAGGTGACAATGCTGTCCCTGGGTCATTCAGACCTGCATTTCAATGCTGGGTACTCCTTACTCAGTATTTACTTGACTTTGGAGAAGGCACTGAACCTCTCTAACTTGCTGTATCTATGAAAGAGGGATCATAGTGTTTCTTCCCTCACGAGGTCCTGGAAAGATGAAATGCAATAGTATTTGGAAAGCACTTGGCAATACCTGTCCCTAAAGTTCCAGAATGGCAGAGGGACCAGGGATGGGCTGCCCGGGCAGCTTGATGCTGAGACCGTCCACATCCATGGGACAGGGGCCGCTTTCTGCCTCTTTCACCAACCCTGCAGAATCCTCATCTTAGGTTGATGCCTAGAGCTTAAAGCGCCTCTGCTGTCCTCACTGCTTTTGCTTTCTAGGGCACAAACGTGCCACGCTGGGTGGAGACTGTATTCTGACAGGAAATAGGAATGCCAAATTTCTGTTTTATTCTGTTCCCTCCAGGGTGACATCTGACCACCTCCCCATCACCTTTTCCCTGGCACATAATTGCTGCTCTGTAAATACTTGTTGAATACGAGCAGACATTTGAGCAAGGCCAGGTCGAGGTGGCACCAAGTAAGGCTGACTGCCTGCCGAGGGACATTACCAAGTGGCATTTCCTTGGATCCACTCATCATTTTAACTCTGCTATCTCTATACCACTTAACATTTACTGAGCACTTCCAATGTGCCAACCACTGTTGCAAGCCCTTTCACATGTATTCTATCATTTAACCTCACCGTAATTCGTTTTACAGACGAGGATATTCAGGCTAGGTAGCATGCCCTAAGGCACAGAATTACCAAATGGACAACTGGCTTATCTTGGGCTTAGCCACAGACATTCTGCGCTTAACCTGTTTACTGATCCAGGTGCCTGGTGGGCCAGACTCATCCCCATCTTCATCACGACGGCCGCGGTCAGCACTGTGACTCGCATTTGCCGAGCACATCCTGTGCACCAGAGAGCTGTCTTAATCTTTGCATGAGACGAAACATTTAATCCTTACAAGATCACACAGCACAGGTACTAATGCCATCCCCAACTCCCGGTGGAGAAAACTGTGGCACAGAAATGTCACCTGCTCAAGAGTACAAGCAGGTGGATGTCCATCCAGGTGGGATCTGACTGCCCCGGAGCTGCCCTCCTGCCTGCCGGGCCTCCCCTAATCCACAGCCAGCATTTAACTCGTTGCCAGGGTGTGGTAAAAGCTCTGCAAGGTCTAGCCGTGATTACTAACAGTAGACACTGGGACAATGGGGTAATAAAACAGGGATGCTGAGAATCACATGAGATGACA